CCCATGGGAACCGAGCCACGTGGCGGCCCCTGGCCAGGTCGCCCACATCTGCTCCGCCCGAGGGACCCTCCCGCCGGAGGGGTGTGGACGCGGCAGCTGCGGGGGTCATAGGCGGGGCGGTGGGCGGGCCTCGGGCTGGGCAGCCAGGTCGGCCGGTGTCTCGCTCGCTCCTCGCTCGGGCCGCCCTCGGTAGAGCCCACGGGCTGCGGCTTACACGACGGACGTTTCGTTCTCGCGGTCCTGGAGGCTGGAGCCAAGAAGGTGGCCTGCAGACGGCCGCCTTCTCGCCGTGTCCTCACACGGAGGACAGAGACACCTGTCCCCTCTCCCCCTCTTCCGTGAGGACACTGGCGCCACCTCGGGGCCCCACCCTCATGACCTCATCTAACCTCATCCGCCCCAGAGGCCCCCCTCTTCCACATAGGGGCTTGGGGGACACAAACAGTCAAAGGAGTGGGATTCTAGTGCAGGCTGGGGGGTCCGGGCCACCACAGCAGGGGCTCTCACCTCCGTGCCCCGGGAGGCCGGGGCGGCCCTGCGCCCGGGAGGCGGCCCCGGGGGTGCCCGGTCCACGAGGCCTCTGTGGCTGCCGCAGCTGCCTTGCTGACACGACTTCCCTCCTGCTCGGCACCGGGGACTTGGAGGCAGCGCCCCAGGACGGCTCCCCATCTGCCCACGTCCCCGTCCCGGCAGGAGGTCCCGGGGCGTCGTGGGTATCACGCGCGGGGAACACAGGGGTGCGGAAGCTCAGCCCTGCCGCTGCGTGCCTGGCCCGGCCGCGTTTCCCCGGGCGAGCCCGGTGCCAGGCCTGCCGGGCCTCGCAGCCCAGAGCGAACTCCGGCTCCAGCATAAACACCCATTCAGCCGCACAAGGCCCCTTTGTCCCGAAGAGAGCTTCCTGGCCCAGGATGCTGCCTGGCGGCCCGTGTCCTCAGCACGGCCAGCTGCCCCAAGTGGCCTTCTCTGGGCAGACTCCCGGCCCGGCTCAGAGAGGCCCCGGTGGGGGTCAGGGCCCCCGCGGCGGCGCACAGAGCGGCCAGAGAGGCCGGGCGGGCTGTGCCGGCCGAGGCCCTGCCACCGCAGACCCCTTCGAGCGGCCCTGAGCCTGCAGAGAGCAACGGGAGCCTCACGGCCACGTGGCCACCCTGCCCCCTCGGCCGCACGCGCCCGTGGGTGGGTGATGACACTGAGCCCGTGGGTGGGTGATGACACTGAGGAGAAGCAGCTGCTGAGCCTAAAGGCGCTCGCCCCCTGCCATCCCTGTCCCCCGCAGAAGACTGGTGTCTGCAGCCCGTGCCCTGCCTGGCCTCTTCCCTGCCAACGGCCCTTGGTCCCCGTGGCTCTCAGTTGGCTCTTGAAACTTCTCCTGGGAGGGAGAGAAGAGTGGAGTCCTTGTGCAGGGGAGGGGTGGGATGGGGCAGGATCTCGTGCAGGGGCAGGTGGAGGGGTGGACAGGGTTAGGGCTGACGGGGGTGGGGGACTGTACGCCGAGAGCAGAAGCCTGGGTCATTCGGGGGAAGGGGCCGGTATGACAAGGGGGGCCCAGAGAGCGGCTTCGGGGCTCAGGTGGGCCCCTGATCCTCGCCCACACCTCCTGCAACACCCACATCTGCTCTTAAGGAGACGCCTTCCAGGGGCCGAGCCCCCCTAAACTGAGCACTGGGCAGGGCCAGCGAGAGGCTCCCAGACGGACCTGGTCGGGGCCAGAGAAGGTGGCTTTGAAGCACGCGGTGACAGCCACGGGCAGCCTCCTGCCGGCCAGAGCCCGGAGCAGGTTCTGGAACACAGGAGACTGCGGAAGGAACCCCCGGCGGCCACAGCCAGGTGAGAGCCCTGGAGCCTGGGGCAGAGTGGCCCCTCGGTCCCTGCCCCCAGCCCGGCCTTTGTCCCAGAGCCGGGCACTTTCCTGCACACGCTCTGAGAACAAACGTGTCCTCCACGTAAGGGGTCCTGGCCCCTCAGTCACCTCCTACCCCAGGCCTCGGGCCCTGGCCCGGGCAGCAACCTCTGGTGGTGGCTGGCAGGTCACTGCTGCCCGCCCTCAGGTCCATTCCGGGGAGGGTCCTCGCCAGCCTGAGTCTCAGCTGGGTGCGGGGCACAGAGACGCTCAGAGGCCTTCCGGCCGGGCAGGCCTCGGCCTGGGTCTCTGTGTCGGGACGCCCGCTCGCTGTTCATGAGAGAAAATGCCCCTTCGTGGGCAGTTCCTCCAGGCCTGGGCATGAGCGTCTCCTTGCCCGTGTCCGGCTGCAGTCTCCTCGCCTGGGCCCTGTGCCCGCTTGAGGATGGGGCGTTCTGGGCCTGGCACCACTGGCGCCAGCTGGGACCAGGTCACAAGTGTGGGTCCTCAGCCTGCCCAGACCTACCAAGTCAGGTGCTAAGGAGGCGTTGTGCCGCCGGCTGGTTGTGGGGATCGTGGTGTTAGGGACACGGCTCCGGGGCACTCAAGTCACGTATCAGCAGCCCTGGAGACCGGTGTCCAGCCAGCTCTCCGCCCGTCGACGTCCAGGGGCCGGGGTCCCCTGATGCCCCTGCAGGCCCGGCTGCCGCCCGGTTCAGAAAGGCTCCTGGGGGCTGCTTTGAGCCCCACTCTGTGTCCCACCCCGAGAACCCCCCTCTCGGGCCCATCCCGTTACCATGTGGTCAGCGAGCAGGTAGGGGAAGGATGCGGGGAAGGTTCGGGCTCAGGCCAATGTCCGAGGGTCCAGGGGGCCCTCCCCTGGGACAGCCTGGGGGCCGGAGGGGTGAGGGACTCAGACACCGTGGCTTCGCCAGTTACAAAGGTCTGCTCTGGGGGCGGGGGGTGGGGGTGGGGTCCAGGAGGCGGCGCTCGCAGAACCGGCCCACGGGGGCCGTGGGCTCCGGCCCAGGAAACCTGCCTTCTAGCAGCTGTCTGTCAACTGCACTAGAGTGCCCATGACCCCTGGCCAGAGTTCCATCCGCAGGGACAGCAGTCTCGCAAGGGACACAGGCTGACCGTCACCCAGGCTGTTGACAGTTTGCTTTTCCACATGAGAACCTTCGTCCGTTTGGGTTCTGACCTGTGGTCGTGAGGTGGACACTCAGTCCCCCGTGGGGACCATGGGAACCGAGTGGCCACGTGGAGGAGAAGGCAGGGTCGCGGGGGCGGCAGTGCGGGGTGGGGTCAGCCTCCAGCCGAAGCCAGAAACCTGCAATGTCATCAAAACCAGAGCAACTCCAACACTTGAACTGAAGGGAAACTTTATTAGTCTTCTTGTTAAAGCAATCTAATTTAAAAACGAGCTGAAGTTAAGAAAAAAGAAAGAACATGACACCTTCCACAGACAGACAGACAGACAGACAGACAGACAGACAGACAGACGGGGCAGGGGTGCTGAGAAGGGGCCTCCTGGTCAGATCTTCTCCATCTTGGAAATGAGGTCATCACAGATTCGGGTCAGTTCCTCGTTTTCCTTAGTCTGAAGGAGAAAAACAAATAAACAGGGGTTTGACTTTTTTAATATAAAGATTTTAGTGTCCACATCTAACGTAGAGCTTGAGCTCGCGACCCAAGATCAAGAGTCACGTGCTCCACTGCCACTGCCCAAGCCGGCCGGACCGGATCCTGGGTTCTACACGATTCCCGGGAGTAGACCACGGGGCCTAGAACTAGAAGGCCCAGTGCTAGAAGGGACTGGCGACCAGCCCCTGCTACGGGGCAGGTCCCCAAGCCAGGAGGGTCCCTCCCTTCACGTCCCACCCAGGGGCCGGGGCCCCGGGGGCTCGCCTTCTGCTCAACCGTCTTCTCCAGTGACTGGACGCGCGTCTGCTCCTTCCTCAGGCTGGCCTGGAAGGCCAAGGCCTCCGCCTGGGCCTTGCTGCGCACCTGGGCGATCTCCTCGTTGGCGCTGGAGACGCAGAGGGCGGGGCTGAGATGGTCAAGGACCGGGGTCCGGGGGAGCTGGAGGGTCTCCCTCCCCAGGCTGGCCGGACTTTTCTCCACCCATTCCCAGCCCCGCTGGGCCCCTCCTGCCACCACTCACCGCTGGAGTTTCTCCTCCGCGTGGGCCTTCAGGGCCTGGTACCGCTGGGCCTCCTTTTCAATTCTCGCTATGTAATCCTCCACACATCTCTTCAGTGACTCTTCGTTCTTGAAAGAATGAGCAGACAGGAACCGCTAACTCTGTTGGAGCCCGTCAGGCCTGGCTTTTGGGGGATCCCGGGTCAGGTGTGGATGCGCCCACGACCAAGGGGCTCTGGGGTGTTAACACAGTAGCTCTGACAAGGCAGGCTGCGTGGACACAGCAGCAGGCCTCCCCTCCCGGCTTCCGTGGCCGCCCACGGCCCCCCTACCCACCCCCCTCAGCCTGCCCGGCGCGCAGAGCCCACGGGTACGGCCCTGTCTCTCCGCTGACCACGGGCGGACACCAGGGCACGCGGACAGGGCTGTCTACCTAAGGGCCGCGTGGGGACAGCCGTGCGGCCAGTCTTCTGCCTGGTTTCAGGCAACGACAGAACCCACAGATGAGGAGCAGGGGTGTGGCCAGGGGTACGGTCAGGGGGAAGGCTAGAGGCTGAGGGCCCATGCCCCCGGGGTCCCACGCCGTCCCCTGGCCCCATGTTTAAGAACAGCGTTAGCTCCTAAACCGTCTCCCGGTCGTAGAAGGTTCTCTGCCAGCTCCCTCCACGCAAGGCGTATGGCCTGACAGCTCTCGGGTCCCCCCCTGCGTCAGGCTGCCTCCCCCCCCACCAGCCCCCCGCCCTGGGGGCTGCAGTCAGGCCCCCGCACCCCCTGTGCTGGTGCTTCACGGCAGCCGGGCTCAGCCGTGTCCCCCAAGTCATGCTCCGCCTTAGTCCTGGGCCCGAGCCTCCACCCGGTCCTTTCCCGAGGGCTCTGCCGCAAGGACGCTCGTAACTACGGGGATCAGGCGCCGTCGGCCTGTGGCAGTGCCTACCTGAGGGCAGTGCGGGGGTGGACAGGCCTGGAGGGGAGGAGGCAGCTGGGGGGGTGGGGGTACCGGCCCGGGTGGCTTCCCCCACCACAGCCGAGAGGTGCAGGCGCACCCCACCCGGGTCCCTCACCTGCCACCTTGTGGGTCTGTTTCTATGGACTGTGACCCTGGCTCAGGTGTTTCCGGTCTCCTGTGCTAACTATCTAGTCAGCTATCTTTCAAGGAGTTTCGAGCTTTAAGGACTTTCTTCCGCACAGCAGGAACACCACCAGCTGCCCCAGAGTCATGGTGAGACAGCGCGAGCTCGGCCTGGTCCCCGTCCTCTAGGGCCCTTCAGGTCCCCGCTCCTCAGGGCAGCAGGCCCTGCCTTTCAGCTCTCTGTGTGGCTGGCTCCCTCCTGCCCGGCAGGTGGCACCTTCCAGGCCCCGTCCGGCCCTCCTCAGGGGCCTCAGGCTACCGCTCCCGCCCCCGGCACAGGCCGGTCCCAGCATCTCGCGGTCGCCGGGCCGTCCCTCTACCACGCGGGGGCCTCCCTCTGCCCTCCTGCAGGCCCACCGTGCCCAACGGGCCAGGCCCTCCTCCAGAAGGCAGCCGCCTACTCCTTGGGGCCCATGGGGCTCTGCCTCCAGTCTGGGCCCCTCGGCGCCCCTGCTCACGTGCCCGCACGTCCCTAGGCACACGGCGGACTCCCCCACCTGGGCCCACCGGCGAGGAAAGACACAGCCCGGCGCCCAGCTGAGTGATCTTTGTGGAGAGACTGCAGCTTCCTGGACAAGGTCAGGACCCAGGACAGGCCTGGTCGGGGGCTGACCACAGCCCCCCAGGGACCCTCTGGGGGAGGACAGGCACGTGCCCGCTCGCCGCCACCTACCGTGCGGTACCCCTCGATCACCTCCTTCTGTTTCTCGAACCGCTTGAACAGGTCAGAGAAAGACTTTTCCATGGAGCTCAGGTCTGCAGTCAGCTGCTCTTTCTCCTTCAGAATCTTCTCGATCTCAGCTTTTGCGAGTTCCTTCTGTTTCTGAGCCTCCTCTTGAGAAAAGAGGAAGGGGCACTGGGGATCAGAGGAGCACAGGCGAGGGCAAGCAGGGGTGGAGGGGTGGAGAGGCGGGCGACCCCACCCATGGTCCCGCATGGTCCTGCTAGTGACTGGGCGACGGGGCCCCTCTCTGGGGTGACCTTCCAGAGCAGGGCCTGGGGGGGCACAAGCGCCCAGGGTCAGGCGACAGGAACCTAGGGCCCCACGGAGCCTGCAGCCACCGGTCTGTCCCCACTGCCGGGGAGGGGGGGGGGGGGGGG